GAGTGTGCAGGATGGGGAGCAGTGCTGGGAGTCCCAGCAAGGCCTGGTGGCTGTCTCTGACCCAGGAGGTAGCAGAGTCCCATCACAGCTCTGAGCTGGGGGAATGCTGAGTTTCAGCCCTGCTCAGGGGGTTCCTCCCTCAGGGTGCTGCTCCCCTCAGTGGGCAGAGGGATCTGTGCCTCAGTTTCCCTTGGTGGGCAGGGGGGTCTGGCCAGCAGCACCTGCTGGTTGGGTTTGGGGACAGGGGAAGGTGTCTCTGTGTGGGCCGTGTCTCAGCAGCTCAGGTCCCGTGATGCCATGTGCTACCGGCTCATCCTCGCTCCACCACACCCCTCGCCTGTGCTGCAGCAGCTCCCCTGCCCAGCCCAGTAGGCATAGTCTCCCGTGAGAAGTATGGAACTGGGGGAGCAGAGACTCCCCTCGCCCTCAGCAGAGTGAATCAGGATGGGGTTGTGGGGGGATCCCAGGGGAGAGAGCTCCCCAAGCTCTGGGGGCAGCCACAGCATCCTGGGGAGCTGTGGATGGAGAGTCTGATCCAACACCACTGGTGCAGCTGCTGTGGGGTCATGCTGGGGCTGGAGAAGGGGAACAAGGATGAGATTTGGGGGTTTGCTGGGCTGGGTTGTTGCAGAGCCCCTTTGCATGAAGGTCCTGCAGCGTCTCCCTACCCAGTGCCCCCTACTCCCCCTCCTCCCTGATCCCTCGGTCTCCCCATGCCTCCACACATCCCTTGCCTGGAATTCTCTGTTAATTAAATGACCATTAGAAGCCAAATCATGTTTTTGCCTTAATTAGAGTCTCCTGTCTCACTGCTGTGAGCTGAAACTCTGGCCCAGCATGTCCCCTCTGTGACCGACATCGGATACGATGGCAGCGCTGGGGGGTCAGTGCCCCCGTGAAAGGCCAGAGGGATGCCCTGGCATCGTGCCAGTGGATACAGCAGAGATGGGATCTCCTCCTCCAGCCCTTGTCCTGCTGACCCCAGCTCCAAAACACCCGCTGGGGCACTGCCAAATATCTCAGCTGTACCTCGAAATCTCCGCTTGCCCCGGGGCTGCACTGCAGGATCCGGCTCCGGAGTTCCCAGGCTTCCCACCGGCATTGGGGTGGGAGGGGGCTCACCTCGGGACCGGTTTGGGATTTTCGTTCCCGGTCATCCAAGCCCACGCCCTGGCACAGGGTAGTGCAGGTTTTGGGATCAGCAGCCTCAGCCGACGTTCATGGAGGTCTGGAGGGTGTCCATCCCCCCGCCCCGTCTCCATTTCAGCGGGACAGCTCAGCCCCGGCTTTGCCAGCCCGTAATGAGCGATAACTCATCGCTCCGGGCCCACGGTGGCAGCCGCCCTTCATTATCCAACGAGCTTCCCCCAGATCGGGGTCTCCCTGGGACAATTCAACCCTCTAGGAGGAGGGGGGGGCGGGTTGGGCCCCCCCGTACCCGCCTGCCCGAGCCCAGCCCATGCTCCGTCAGCGCCGGCTGCTGCTAATTGCTGCCTCAGCCTCATTAATCTTCATTTGTTGCTGTTTCTGCCCTCCGTCATCCCCATCGCCTTCCCGGAGCGGAGAGGTTCCGGCTGCCCCCACGGAGGAGCGGGGGGCGTTGTTTCCAGCAGTTGGATTCCCCAAAATCCCCGACCCCGCCGCTGAGCTCGCTGGGTGCTGCCGTGTCCGAGGACATCCCGATCCTTCTGTGCATCCCCGAATCCTCATCCTGAGTCTGGTCCTTTGCTGATGAGAGCGACTCCCTGTCGATTCCCCGCACATCTCGCTTCTCCCTGCGTGGTCTTCAAAGCTCCCCCCCCACCCCCCCGAACCGGTGAATCCACCCCTCTCCATCCATTCCCATCCTACCCGGATAGGGATCTGATGCTGGGGCAGGGGTTACCCATGATGGGACCCGTACTGGGGAAAGCCCAAATCCCCCTTGTTTGGCTTTTGGGATGCTGCGGGTGCTGCGGCAGCACAGGCGGGGGTGTTTCTGGGATGGAGCCTTTGCGGGAGGAGGAGGAGGGATGAAGAGCTCGGGAAGGGGATTTTCCGGCGTCTGAACCGCTTTCCTGGATACGGGGAATGCCCCGGGGATGGAGGGGGATGGGATCGCCGGCTCCAGCCTGGGGTTTCCATCCCGCCAGACCTTGGGGTGCTGCCGGCCAACAATGCGGCAAATGGAATGTGTAAAAGGAATGTGTAAATGGGAGGGGGACCCGCCCACCCCCCAACCTCCGTCCCCCCTCCCCCCTCCGGGTGTAAATCAGCGGTGTAGCCAGGGGGAGTTTACACCAGGAAAGGGACAAAGACCCCACGGGGCTGGTCTGGGGCTCAGTGCAGTTTCTCGGGGTTCAGTATAACAAAGCTGGGGGGAGTTTGGGGGCTGAGCCCGGAGGGGGGTTCGCTGGATACAGTCCCTGGGGGCTCTGCTGGAGTTGGGACGTGGGGGCTCCTTCAAGGCCAGATGTTTGTAGCTTGGGGCACTGCCTGAGGGGGTACAGGGTAACACATCGTGGGGTGCAGGGGGGCTTAGGGGATCTGCGGGTGGTGCAGTGTCAGGACTACACATGGAGGGGGGTGGGGTGTTGAGTTAGAGGGTCTGGGAAGCTGCAGGATGGGGCACAGGGTAATGCCCCATGGGGTTTGGGGGGTGTTGCACTGAGGGGTGCAGGATGAGGCACTGGGGGATGCAGGGGTGTGCGTTAGGGGGGAAATGCACCGTGGGAGGGATGGGTTTGGCAGGTTCAGTGTAATGCACCGTGGGGTGCAGGGGCCCAGAGCAAAGAGGAGCAGGATAAAGCTCTGGGGGAACTGGGGTGGTACCTGAGGAGCTGCAGGGTGGAGTGTAATGTGGGTGCATGGGTGATGTGCCATGAGGAGCTCTGCCCACCCTCTGCCCTGGGGGGTCTCCTCAGCAGCTGCCTGAGTGAAGCCCACCCTGTCCTGCTCCACGAGGAGCTCCCAGTGGTTTTGGGGGAGGGGTGTGGGGTGGGTCCTACCATTCTCATCAGAATCCCCCATGAGTGCTGCACCCCAGAGAGGAGCTGGGGGGTCTGCAGGGGTCAGCAAGGCAGGAGGGGGGTCCTTCCCAGCTAGTATTTTTTTCTTGAAGCCTTAACCCACGCTCGTTCCAGGGCCAAGGGCTGATAGAAATAGTTAATTATAACCCTCATAATTTATTTATGTCCTTAAGACCCTGAGATCTTGGCCGGGGGAGAGGCAGAGAGCGGGGGGGGGGGGGGGGGGGGGGGGGGGGGGGGGGGGGGGGGGGGGGGGGGGGGCGACGAGGGGCAGTTCCAAACCGGGGAGGAATAAAGAGGAAACTTGAAGCGCCGGAGGAACCGCAGCGAACATCCCCGGCGGGGGCGGCCGAGAGGGGTTTGAGGGCACAGCGGGGACTTCGGGGGGCCGAGCTCCCTTCCCACCCCCACCGCCGGCCGCTCGGCCCCTCGCCAGCTGCTGCCGCAACTTGCAGAGGGGAGGGGAAAAAAAAAAAGAAAAATTGCAAAAGGAATAAGGAAAAAAAAAAAAAAGGCAGCGGAGCCGGAGCAGGACTGCAATGCAGTGCCGCAGCCCAGCGCCGCACGGCCCTCCCGCAGCGAGGGGGGCCCGGCAGGGACAGGGGGCTGCGACAGGGATGGGGGGCTGCGACGGGCCCCCTGCCCGGGAATCTGTGCCGTGGGGCTGGGAGCAGCTCTGAACCCGCAGCCGAGGGCTTGGGCTGCCCTGCTTGTGCCTGGTGGGGATGGGGGTTGAGACCAAGGACACTCAGTGCGGCGGTGGCACAAAGGGGTCTGGGACCTGGAGTTGAGGGGATGTGCCCAAGGACACGCTACTCCACTGCCTGTCCCCTCTGCCCCACTGCCTGTCCCCTCTGCCCCACTGCCTGCCCTCCCATCCAACGATGGCACCCAGGCTGCCCCCGACCAGCCCAGGCTGCCCCCTTGGCACTGCCCACACCTGCCCCACACTGCCCAGCCTGGCTCCCATGCAGGATCAAAGGGGATCAAAGCTCAGCCCCCTCACTTGGAGGGACAGGAACAGCCCCCTGGCCCCATGGCAAGGGCTGTAGGGTTCCAGGGGGCTGGAGGGTACTCAGTTGGAAGGGTAGCAGCAACATGGGCTCGCTCCCCCAGGCCTCTCCCGTGCCTCAGTCTCCCCCAGTCTTCAGCTCAGTCTCCCCCAGTCTTCAGCTCTGCCAGCACCCGGTGAGCACCACAAAGGAGCAATTAATGATGCTGATTAGCTGCCCAGCTCAAAAACAGCCCCTGTGGTGAGGCCTGATGCTGCCTGCAACCTCCCCAGCCCTGGCCAGCACTGCAAAGCCCCCCAAGCCCCCAGAGCAGCACTATCCCGGTCAAGGTCCTGCGCTGCATCTCTGCCCCCAGAGCCCCCTGTCCCACCCACGATTCCCACACACACAGAGGCACACAGAGTGTGTGTGTGTGTGTGTGTGTGTGTGTGTGCAGGCCTTGCACAGGCTGCGGGCAGTGCCACGCACACGAGAGGACACACAGCCCCCCGTGCAGGAGCTGGCAGAGCCAGCCACGCGAGTGATGAGCGAGCACACAAAGTGCTTGCACCCTGGCTGGATGTGCCTGCACCCTGTGCACGTTTACACACCCACACACAAGCACTCCTCCCCTGCGCACACACACTTGCACACATGCATTCCTCCACGTGCGTTTGCATATCCCGTGCACATCCATTTACACACGTGCACAGACACGCGCACACACACATGCTGTGCCCATGCACCGGCTCTTGCACCCCCGTGCCCGTGCCTGCAGGCTCGCAGAGGGGCACAGACACACTCACACAGCCTTGCTGGCGTCCCTCCCCGCACACACATGCGTGCTCACGCGTGGGCTGCAGCCTGAGCGGGCCTGGCTGTGCCCGTCCCCGGGGACGGTGGCTCCGTGCAGCGGGACGTGAGTGGCATGGTGATCATCGCAGCGTCACGGCTGCAGCGGGAGCTGTAACGTGACCACCGAGCTGATGTTGTGTTCCAGGGCAGCCCCCGGCCCACCATGACGTTCAAACAGGCGTCCATGATGGCCCCGGAGGCCGCGGCCACCACGATGCCCATGGGCACGATGGAGAACTCCACCGAGGCCGCGGGGCCGGGCGAGAGCAAGGAGGACATGTTCACCAAGCTGAGGGACAAGTTCATGAACGAGCTCAACAAGATCCCCCGTGAGTAGCTGCTCCTCTCCCGTGAGCTACGCTCCTGACGGCCCCGCCACCGCGCTGGTACCGGGGCAATGCGTGGGACAAGGTTTTTGGGGTGGCTGGGAGGGAGCTGCAGGGCTGACCACAACGCTGGCTTTTGCCTGCAGTTCCTCCCTGGGCCCTCATCGCCATCGCCGTGGTAGCAGGACTCCTCATCCTCACCTGCTGCTTCTGCATCTGCAAGAAGTGCTGCTGCAAGAAGAAGAAGAACAAGAAAGAGAAGGGCAAAGGCATGAAGAATGCCATGAACATGAAGGACATGAAGTCAGGCAATCAGGTGATGTCCTTCTGGACAACAGCTTGGCCAACAGTCCCTGCAGACCAGCTGTGAAATGTGCTGGGGCACACAGGGGTCAGGCAACAGATTGGGATGGAGTCACCAGGACATCTGAAGCCAGGACATGGAGCCACCAGCCACTGGGACGGGACAGTGCAGACAGGAGCCAGGACCTGAGATAGCAGCACTGTCCTCTTCCAGTGCCTGCTGGCCCAGATGGGACCAGGCTCAAGCTGTCCTGGACCTGCCAATGCTCCACCTGAATCAGAAAATGTTAAATGAATCCCTTTCATCTTCCTGCCTCCCTCTGGGTTACCCTCATTTCACTGAGCCTTTAACCAAGAGGGGAGGGCAAAACACATCCAGTCTGGGTTGAGAGGCAGGTGCTGGTACCTGGAGCAGACCTGGGGCTGTGTCCCCATCCTTGGGGCCAGCCCGAGGGGGGCTTTGGTACCTGGAGGCTTGGGGCCACCCCAGCCCTTTCCATGGCCTTGACCTGGTGCCATTTGGAGGGGGTGGGAGATTTTGGGTGCCCGTTCCAGCTCTTCAGAGCTGTGTGGGCACCATGAACATGCAGGCAGGGCTGGAACAGGAGTGGTGGGAGGTGTGGGGTGGGATTCCCCAGCAGAGAGCGAGGGCTGTATCCCCTGGGACTCCACAGGGTCACACAACCCTGACCCCCCCACCCCCTGGGTCCCTCAGTGCTCTGTGTAACGTGTCTCTCTTCCCTTGTGGTGCCCTCACCTCCTGCCACCCTGCTGCCCTGGCTGCCTGGTCCCTCCCCATCCTGGGACACCCTCCATGGTAAGTGAGCCTCCTTCTCCATCATCTGCTTCCAGGGTGGCTCAGGGGACCTGGAGACATGTCAGAGAGCAGATAAGGAGCCAGGACTCCCACCCCATGGACCACAGCTTGGAGAGGCAGGAAGAGGGATGGCTTTTCCTGGGGACAATTAGGGTGTATCTCTATTTCTAAGCCCACAAAGCACCATCTCTGATGCTTCCCCAGGCACAGGACCCACTGCTTGCACCAAACCTCACTCCACTGTCCTGGTGTCCTGAGGAAGCCCCTCATGCCACCTAGTGTGGACCAGCACCGGGGGCTCCCTGGTAGCCCTGTGGCCATGGCAGAGCCAGTGCCACCCCCAGACTGCTCCACCAGTGCTTTGTGTCCCCAGTACAGGGGTCTCCTTTCCCCTGATGGGGAGAACCTGAGTGCTGAGGTGTCAGCAGGGTTGGGGTGCTGAGATGTCAGCAGGGTTGGGGTCCTGAGGTGTCAGTAGGGTTGGGGTCCTGAGATGTCAGTGGGGTTGGGGTGCTGAGGTGTCAGCAGGGTTGGAGTGCTGAGATGTCAGCAGGGTTAGGGTGCTGAGGTGTCAGCGGGGTTGGGGTCCTGAGGTGTCAGTAGGGTTGGGGTGCTGAGGTCCCCAGGGGTGTGGGGACGGGGGTGCTGGGCTGTGACTGTGCTGCTGAGCTGGGCACCACGGCTGCCACTGCAGGACCAACAGGATGATGATGATGCAGAGACGGGTCTGACAGAGGGGGAAGGCGAGGAGGAGGAGAAGGAGCCAGAGAACCTGGGCAAGCTGCAGTTCTCACTGGACTACGATTTCCAGGCCAATCAGGTGATGGAGGGGCTGGGGCTCAGCTGGGGAGTGGGGTTTGCCCAGGGGGGTTTTGAGGGGACAAATCTCCATGTTGGAGCTGGGTGGCACGGGAGGGAAGGAGGAGCTGGGTGCTGTGCCACAAGGAGTCCTGCCTTGGGCTGGAGATGAGCCCTTGGCATCTGCAGAGTATAGCTGGGCTGTCTCACTGAGGACACCCCTCTGCCCCCTCCAGCTGACAGTGGGGATCCTCCAAGCCGCTGAACTGCCAGCTTTGGACATGGGGGGCACCTCAGACCCCTATGTCAAGGTGTTCCTGCTGCCCGACAAGAAGAAAAAGTACGAGACCAAAGTGCAGAAGAAGACGCTCAACCCTGCCTTCAACGAGACCTTCACCTTCAAGGTGAGACCCTTCACCCACAGCACAGGACCTTGTCTCCCACTCCCATCCTCCTCACTGACTGCACCAGTCCCATACTCTGACCCTCACTGCTGGGAGCAGGGGGGCCTGGCTCGGGGTGCAGACCCCAACCAGCCCCATTGCTGTCCCTGTTTGTGCAGGTGCCCTACCAAGAACTGGGTGGGAAGACGCTGGTGATGGCCATCTACGACTTTGACCGCTTCTCCAAGCACGACATCATCGGGGAGGTGAAGGTGCCCATGAACACGGTGGACCTGGGCCAGCCCATCGAGGAGTGGCGGGACCTGCAGAGCGGCGAGAAGGAGGAGGTGAGAGCCAGCCCCCAGCCAGCTGAACCCCTTGGTTGGGGGGATTTAGATGGGGGTGGCCACGGGGTGAGCTCTGCTTTAGGGAGCACCCCACAGTGTTCAGGGTGACGATCACTGTGGGGTCACACTGGCGTGGGGCTCGTGCCTGTCCTGGCTTTGAGTTCTGGGCAGGATCCGCCTTCTTGTTCCTCTGTGTAAAAACCTTTTTGCCACAGAAAATGAAGAGTATAAAACATCCTGAGTGCTGTGTTGGGCCTGGCCTGCCCCAGGCCCAGTGATCAAACCCCTCTGCTGGAGCGTGGGGTACCAGCCTGTGCCTGCATTGAAGGCTGAGCAGGGTTTGGGGGGACCTGCCCATGGGAACATGTCCAAACAGTGCAGTCTGATGCACTGTCAATGCTTTGATATCCACTCCCTGCTTTCCTTGGCAGCCAGAGAAGCTGGGAGACATCTGCATCTCTCTCCGGTACGTGCCCACGGCCGGGAAACTCACTGTCTGCATCCTGGAGGCCAAGAACCTGAAGAAGATGGATGTCGGGGGTCTCTCAGGTGGGTGTCACTCAGGGGCAGCCTCCTCCTGCCCCACCAGGGGCTCTCAGCACCCTTTCACAGGAAGGACACTGGGGCTATCCCTCTGGCTGGGCTCAGGGAAGCCCCCCCAGTGCCCCCTCCCGCATTGGAGGCAGCCCAAGGTGTGGCTGGAGGGCAAAGGGAGATGGGTATGGGATGAGTCCTCCACCCTTAAGAAAAGACATTTTCAATTTGGTCCCACACTCTGTCCAGGACCAGGATGCTGCAGGACCTGGATGGTGAAAATTCTCCTCTGTCATTTTCTCCTGGTCCTGCTCCTCTTTGACTTGGTCCAGGGATCTCAGCTGACAGAATGTTTTTGCTCAAAGAGTCTTCCCAACCCCATCATGGGGCTGAGCTCTGTGCCCAGCTCTTTCCAGACATGCCTTAACCATGAGAAGAGCAGTCCCTGCATGGCTGGAAGGATTCAGCTTTATTGTGGGGTCGTCCTTCTCCAAAAACATGGGTGACAGATGCCACCTGACAGGCCAGCTGTCACTCCACTGTCCCCAGTCCTCCTACAAGAGGGTCCTCAGCACAGAATCACAGAATTAATGTTGGAAAAGACCTCCAAAATCATCAGGTCCCACCTGTGACCAATCCCCACCTTTCCAACCAGCCCAGAGCCCTGAGTGCCACATCCAGTCGTTCCCTGAACACCTCCTTGGACGGTGACTCCACACCTCTCTGGGCAGCCCATTCCAATGCTTGACAACCTTTTCAGTGAAGAAATTCTTCCTGACATCCAACCTGAACCTCCCCTGTTGCAGCTAGAGGCCATTTCTCCCTGGCTAGTTACCTGGGAGCAGAACCTGACCCTCCCCAGGGTCCACCCTCCTGTCAGGGAGTTGTAGAGAGAGTGTCCCCCTTGAGCCTCCTCTTCTCCAGGCTGAACCTCCCCATCTCTCTCAGCCATTCCTCATGTGACTGACTCTCCAGACCCTTCCCCAGCTCTGCTGCATGCAGAAATGCTCCACCCCTCAGCCAGTTGCTCCCAGAAACCCTCTCCAGCCCAGCTATTATGACTTTGGTCCCCATCCACAAACCCCAGAGCTCGCGGACATCTCTACCTCATCCTGGGCTGAGATGCCTCTTGGCTGATGGTGCTCCCTGGGCATCTCAGCCCTGATTGATGAACTCCTGACCCCCAGATCCCTACGTGAAGATCCACCTGCTGCAGAATGGCAAGAGGTTGAAGAAGAAGAAGACCACAGTGAAGAAGAAGACCCTGAACCCCTACTTCAATGAGTCCTTCAGCTTTGAGATCCCCTTCGAGCAGATACAGGTTTGTCTGATGACTCCCCCGGGAGGCAGAGAAGGTAGAGGGGTCCCTGAGATACACCCAGTCCCATCCTGGGCCTGGAGTGGTGCTGAGAGCATCTGGTGCAGGGCCAGACTTGGGGGGCTGGGCAGCACCTGTGGGAGATGCAATCCCAACAGAAACAACAGCTGGAATGGGGTTTTCCTCTGCTCCTGATCCTACAGTGCTCACCCCAGGCATAACAAAGGCACCCCAGTGATCCTAAAGGCATTTTGGACCACTGGCCAGTGCCTTCTGCCCCTCCAGGCCCTGCCCAAGCCCCTGCACTTGCCCCTTGCCCCAGCCCAGTAGCCCACAACTCTTACCCAGCCCCTTCACCACACCTTGGTGACCTTACCCAGGTGAGTCAGGTCAGGATGAACTGGGTCCCCACTGTGGCTCTGCAGCCCTGGGCTCCTTGGGGAATGACGTGCAGGAAGCACGGAGGGGGCCCTGCCCCAAAATGGGCCACAGCAGGGCTCAGCCTTGGGGTATCCCCTGCAGCACCCTGGGGCCACGGAGCTGTCACGGTGCTGTGCCTTTCCCACCCCCTAAAGAAGGTTTTTTTTTTCCCTCCCGTAGAAAGTGCAGGTGGTCATCACGGTGCTGGACTACGACAAGCTGGGGAAGAACGAAGCCATCGGCAAGATCTTCACGGGCTGCAACTCCACGGGCACGGAGCTGCGGCACTGGTCCGACATGCTGGCCAACCCCCGGCGGCCCATCGCCCAATGGCACTCGCTGAAACCCGAGGAAGAAGTAGATGCAGCTCTCGGCAAGAACAAATAGGCGGCTCTGGCGGCCGGCGCGGCACTGCGGACAGTCCAGAGCTCCTGATACCTCAGCCCTGCAAAACCTCCCGTCTCGTTTTTTCTTTTTTTGTTGTGTTTTTTTTTTTTTGTTTAGTTTTGTTCTGTTTTAAGCTGAAACGCCCTTTTGACGGCTCTGGAAGGGTTTCCAGGCAGTCCCAAGAGCTTCCAGGGGAAGAGGTTAAAAAGACACGGATGGTTCTTTTCGTTCACCGCTCCCTTCGTGCTGCATGTCCCGCCGCCTCTGCTCGCCGTCCCCGACCACTGCAAAGCCACCGGCGTGCCTGGGACCCTCCCTGGCAGCCACGTCACCAGCTTGCAGCGCTGCTGCTACCATCCTTCCCTTGGGATCATGTGGGGAATCATGGAATGTTGCATGGAGGTGATACCGGAGACTGATGGTGTGGAATGACTAGACCCACTGTGCTTGCTCGGGTCACGATCAGCTGTGGGACGGCAAAACAGTGGAGAAGACTCTCTGGAAAGAGCCAGGTGCCTTGCCCTGGTCTTCCCCAGGGGTGGCTGAATGCCCCTGATCAGCTCCAGGTTTGGCTACTCCGGGGAGAGGTTTGCAGGGGGTTGTGGCTGATGTGGTGCTGAGCCCTTGGTGTTGCAAATGGAGCTGTGGGGGCCTGTCTGAGCACAGGGAGCCCCAGGGCGGGGCTGCTCTGAGGAGACACGTGGATGTGGATGCACCATCAGTGCCATGTCAATCACCACCACCTCCACTGTGTCCCCAGAGGCCAAGCAAAGGCAGAGCTGGGTGAATTGCACCTGTCTCACCATGCTTGGTGAAACCTGTAGGTCAAGATGCTTCCACAAGGCAGGTTTATTATGCTGAGAGGTCTCCAAATGTGGTGAGGGCAGCCCCCCAGAGCAGTGCCAGGTGCCCCCCCAAAGCCCATCCATCGTGTGTCCCCGGGGCTCAGCCCCACCGTGAGCACCCTGGCACAGCCTGGGGGCAGCTGGGGGGGCTTTGGGGAGCTCCAGCCCCACCACTGCAGCCCAGCTGATGCAGGTGGCAAGAGTGAGCCCCTGGCCCCCACAAGTTTCTGCTCCCCACTGGGCCATTGGCTGCCGAATCTACTCCATCCTGCTCCCTCCAGGGGGTTTAAGCCATATCCGTGCCCCTGGCAGCTGGCAAGAGCTTCTCTGGGCCTCCTCTCCCACTGTCAGACCAAGCCCCTGAGCTGGAAAACCAACACTGTTCCCTGCAGCTGGAGGAGGATCCAGCAGCCCTGCCCAGTTCAGACTGGTCTGTACTGGAGCTCTGACATGAGATGGTGTCCCCGTCCCAGCTTTGACTCCCCGTTGGGGTCACAGCTCCACTTGGCTTCCCCAGACTCGGTTTTGGGGTCCTGCCACAGTGCAGCAGTGAAAGGGGTTGCTGCAATGGAGCTGAGCCCTAGGGATGTCCCAGCACTGGGGACACTGCTCTGGGGGCCCAAAATCTGGGCTGGGACCTCAGTGTAGGATGTCCTGAGTCCGGGGACAAAGTGCCAAAGCTGAGCTCAGCCCAGCACTGCTTCAGCAGCTCCCACAGCTCCCGGATCCAAAAGGGCACCCTGGCCTGGCTGGAGGTGGGGAGATGATGGAAAATTTGGTGGCAGCCACATCTCAGGGGGTTCAGATGGACATGGGGATTGGCCCTTGCCCCTGGAGGGACGTGCAGCCCTGGGACAGTTCCCCAGGGAAGGATGGCTCCACCCTTGGGAGCTCTGGGCTCGGATAACCAAGCTGCAGTGGGGGTGGATGTTGGATGGGGACCTCCAACAACCACCTTCACCACCACCCTGGCTGCACTTGGCTCATGCCCTGGTGAAAGTGGCACCGGGGTCACACCAGGTTTGAAAGGGTCATCAAGCAAGTGGTCCCACAAGGTCATCTCCAGTTTTAATTAGACCCTTTTGCTAATCAATGTGTCAGCATCAGCAAACGGGTCTTGCCCTGCTCCTGTAGCCAAAGGGAGAAGTCTCAGGCTGCTTTTAATTAAAGGGGAGTTGGGAGGGTGAGGATGCCCCGTGGTGAGGAGCACTGGCTGGATTCAGTCTCACCTTGGGGCCCATCCAGCCACTGGTTGGAGGGGGGTGGAGTGTTTGCCTTGCATGGGAATGTGTTAAAAAAGAAGAAATTGGAGAGACCACTGAAATCCTTCTGTTGGCAGTCAGAGAGTGTGCACAGCCCTGCAGCCTCCCCTGGGGAGCAGGTGGAGGTGTGCACACCTGGACACGTGCACACCTATACATGTACACAGCTGTACACAGCTGTACCCCTGCACACCCCACCATGAACCCCCCTCCTGTGCACCCCCATCCTCACCCCTCCACCCCCAGACCAGTCCCATTGTCCAGGGTCTCACCAGGAGCGGAGATCCCACCTGGTTGGTTTCCATTCAGACTCTCTAAGCCTTGGGGGGGCGGAGGGGGGAGGGAGAAGACTGTGACTTTAATACATAATTTAATTTTTTTTTTTAAATAAAAAAGGGAAAACCAACCAACGTATTGAAGCCATCTGCGCTGCCTCTGACCCTCCCTTTCCCCTCCCTCCCCCTTAGCTGTGTGTAGGTAAAATATAGGGAGACATAGCTGTAAATACCACGAGCAGTGCATGTGATGCAGCCACGTAGCAGTAGCAGCATGGCCCAGCCCGGCGCTGCCACCGCCCCCGGCACCGCCGTCCCCACCTCCGGCCTCCAGAGAGGGAGGACACGGCCACCAACGAAACTCATCGCTCGAGAGCTCTCCACCGCCCTGGTTATTTTCTCCCCTCCCCGAACAAAAGGGAAAAAAACCCCAATAAAATCATGTAAAAGAAGAAAATAATGCCAAGAAGCAAAGCATGCCAAGCCCGGCCCGCCAGCGGAGCCGTCACCGATGCAGCCCGTGACATCCACGTGTGTCTTGTTCCTGTACTTCGTCGCGTTTGTCCCATGGCCGGGTAGCGGCAACATCGTGGCTTCCGTGTCCTGTGTCGCGTTGTTGGTGCATTTCACCGTCAGAGCAACTTTAGAAGCCATATAAGAGCACGGTGCGCCGGGACCCCGCGGGGACGGCCCCGCGGCGAGCCGTGACCTCCTTCCCCCCGTGTGTGTCCACCGTCCCCCCTTGGTTTCGTGGGGCTCAGGCTGCCAGGACGAGCCGCATCGGTCACCGCCTGGGTGGCCACGGGTGCCGCAGCCACAGCGGGCGAGGGGACGGGGCAGCGCCGGGCACAGGGGACGGGGCCGACCCTGCCGGGGGCACTTCTGTGATGGAAAAGCCGGTTGGTGAAAAGGCTTTTCGGAGCAATATGGGTTACATCTGCCGCGTCCAGTCAGGCGGTTTCTGGTTTTGGGGATGAGAGATGGCGTTTCCCCTCTCCTGGCTGCCCCGCGGAGCAAACCCAGCTGTGCCACGGAGGGGCTCCAGGGGTTAAAAGGAAGAGAAGCCGCCAGTCTTGGCAACAGGCTCTGCTTTCTTTTCCTTTCCCCCCCTTCAAACAGGAAGGGGGGAGCCAGCTCCTTTGGGAGTTTCAGGCTCGACCATTCCTGGACCCCAATGCCGGCCCCGCTCTGCCCCGTCCCGGCCCCGCAGCGCTCGGCTCCGGCGGAAGCTGCTTTTAACGCCCCTTCCCCTCGTGTGGACTCTGTCGTTCCCGTCTCTGATCGTTCGATGGTTATTTTGTAATGATCTCTGTCTCCTTATTAAAGAAACGAGCTGAAAGGAGCCGGTTCCCTTCTGGTCTTGCTGCTGGGGCGAGCGGGTTATCCGCGGAGAAAGGCAGGTCCCAGGGCAGGGAGCCCGGGGACGGTGAGAGGGATGGAGGTGTGAGGGGAACCCCACGAGTGCCCAGGTCCCCTGAAACATAGAATCATGGAATCACTGAGGTTGGAAAAACCCTCTAAGGTCATTGAGTCCAACCAGTCCCCCAGCACTGCCATGTTCACCACTAACCATGTCCCCAGGTGTTACATCCACGTGTCTTTTGAGCATTTCCAGGGATGGTGACTCCACCACTGCCCTGGGCAGCTGTGCCAGGGTCTGACCAGCCTTTCAGTGAAGACATTTTTCCCAACATTCAATCTAAACCTCCCCTGGCACAGCCTGAGGCTGTTTCCTCTTGTCCTGTCCCTGTTCCCTGGGAGCAGAGCCCGACACCCCCCAGCTCCCCCCTCCTGTCAGGGAATTGCAAAGAGAAGGTCCCTCCTGAGCCTCCTTTTCTCCAGGCTGAACACTCCCCAGATCCCTGTGACTTGCCCTCACCCTTGAGTCCTGGCCCTTTGGCTGAGTGTGGCCAGCCCAGACATGGGGCACAGGTGGAAGATATCAAAGGTCCCCACCAAATTCTTCACCCCCTGCAGAGTCTGGTCCCTACAGTCATGTTTAGGTCCTGCCCTGCTTTGCAGAAGCACTGGACATCCCCAGACTCCAAGGGAAGAGCTCAACCTGCTCCAACCACCTCTGAAGTCTGGAACACACGCAGGTTTCCAGCAGCCTCAGCTGGGACAGAGGATCCCAGATGTGACATCATCACCTGCCCGTGTCTTTGCCACACTTTGTCCTGGCCAAACTCCTGAGAAGAGCACACACAGGACTTGGCAGAGTGGGGGAGATGGTCCTGACCCCCAGTGTGGTTCCAAGGAGCAGGTGGGACTCTCCCTTTTGCCTTCCCACTGGTGAGAGGCTTTCAGGGATGTGCATCCCAGTTCCTTCTTTTCAGCTTCCCCTGAACAGGCAGCTGTGTTGCAGCTGATGCAGCATTTGTGCTTTTATGGATGATGGATATTGTTATGCCATGACAATTTTGGGAGAAACAGGGCATTTTAGTCCAAACAACTTATAATTCCAGAAAGATGGAAGCAAAGTCAAAGCTTCTATTTAATCAACTCTTATTTTATTCATTTATAAATACTGTTGTGTTTACAAGCATCATAGCTGTGAATATTATTCCCAAACTTTCAAACACACTTATAATACTATATAACAACCACCAGTAAAACAAATCATTCATCTCAGGGTTTGAAAGGCCACTCAAAAGTTGCATAAAAATACATTCTCTCCCCATCTCGTCAGCCAGTCCTGCTTCTCCAAGGAGTTTATTTACAAAGAGCCATCATCAAACTTGCAGCCACACCAGGCGGGTTCACCCCAAGCAATAAAAATGAATTCACCCCAAGCAATTGCTTAGAAAAAAAAAAAAAAAACAACCCTCGTGTTCCCCAGGGGAAAACACGTCTGGCAAATGCTCTGGTTCCAAGAGGGATCGGTTTTAAAACCTGCTCGCTCTGCACCCTGTCCCAAGCACGGGGTTCAAGGTGTCCTGTTTGTCACCTCCTCAGTGCACTGGTTATGTCAGGCAAGAAGTGAGACCAAAAAAAAAAAAAAAAAATTCATTCTCAAGAATTTGGTTTGCGAAACGCTCGCAGCTTTGGCTGATCAGGGACACTGAGCTGTGGGGGCCCTCCCCCCCTGGGCTGGGCTTCAGGGGGGAATCCAGTGCTAAGCAGACGCTTCAGCTCAAGTGGTTTGGCTTTGCAAGGCGCCACTCAGAGGAAGGAGCCCCCCACAGCCTTCCCATACTGTTCCTTAGGAAAAAAAACCCGCAGTGAGTGTCCTGCCAGGGAGGAGCAAAACATCAGTGCGGGATGGGTTTGTCAGATTGGGTTGAACCCTCTCCCTAAAACAGACACCAGGCTTCTTCCTGCTGCCAGGAACCCGCCTTGTGAGAAGAACAGGATCTTTAGTGTGAACTCTCATCCTCACCATCAGCTGGTGAGCGTCTTCTCCTCCACACGGCACAGAAGGGACTGGGCTCCTGATCTCCTGATCTCCTGATCGGAGGCGAGAGCCCGAGGCTGGAGCGAGGAGCGGGTCACCAAGAGAGAAAAACATCAAGAACGGCAGAAGTACTCACATAAAGAGTGCACCAAGAGGGAACGGCGTGCAGGGGAAGCATTGACCGGATCTCAAGACTTAAAGCTGTTAAATAGAGCAGGGTTAAAATCAAGGAATATAAAAAGGATGCCTGGCTTAGGCAGTGCTCTGCAGAAACCCTGATGCCTTTACCAGCTTTGGTCTCTTCCTCCCAAAGCTCAGCAGCAGAGGAAGGGCCTCAGTGTACCAGGGGAAACGGCACCTAAAGCCGTGCGAACGGCTCCGCCGGCTGAAGAGGAACCTCTGGCCAGAGCTGCCTGGGGAAAGACAGCAGCTCTAGGAAGAGCAAGAGAGGTGGAAACAGGCAGGACAGGGAGGGGAAGGGGGAAAGATGGAGAATTAGGGTGAGGAGGGGGGGACCAAAGAGAAAAAAACCCAAGGGAGAGGAAAATAAAGATGCTTTCTGAGGCAATAACCAGCAAAAGGTTCCAAAAAGCCCAGGACTGCCTGATAAATTTTACCCTGTTGAGCAAGCTCAAGTACTCTGTTCAAGTATCTCATCTCTCTCTTCCATAGCAGAGAGTCCCCCCAGCCCACCATCAGCAGAGCTGCCTGGGAACGTGGGTAGAGCTGCTTCTTGGCCACCTCCAGGTCCAGTGACTGAGACTGCAGCCCTTGGCCAGCTCCAAGGACAAAGGGAATGAAAAAAAACACAAATATGGAAGGATGTAGATGGGAGAGTGGTTTGGATACAGCAAGATGTCTCTGAGAGGGAAGGTATTGTTTGAGAGGGGTCAGTTAAGGGGAAGCTGAACAGACCTGATGACAGGTCCCACAGCGTGGAGAGAGGAGCCAATGCCCATGGGGAGAACAATTCCAAGCAGTTCTGAGTGCATGTAAGATTAAAGAGGGGTATTTTTGGAGGTTTCCTTCAAGGTCAAGGCTTATCACAAGCTTTTGACGGGTTAGGAGACTTTTCAATCACAGTGATTCAGTTACCAGCAGCTCCTTGCCTGTCTCACACCCATGCACCCTCACCTTTCCAAGGTGTGTGCAAGTGATCACTGCTCCATGGTCCTCTGCCTTGGAATCCAGCCGTGCCAAGCTGCTCCACCAACAGAAGGGTGGATGGGAACAGGACTCTGGCATTTCCCCTCTCTACAAATCCTGCTGCAAATCCAAGTGAGGTACCTGAAGTACCAGACCAGACTCCACTACGGGGGCACTGCCTTCATGGAGACAGCAGAATGTCCCAGATGGCTGTTAGGACAGGCAGGGCGGTTTTTGGTGTGGGCACAGCTCCCTGTGAGGCAATTCACGCTCTGAAAGGGGTCTCTAAGGGTTCAAGTTTGTCCTTCAGAAAGCTCAGAAGTACCTGTGATACATCCTGTCCCGAGGAGCAAGAGTCCAGGTGCAACTGGATGCTGCTAATTACAGGCAGGAGCCCTGGAAGAACACGACATGGAATCACCCAGGCTGGGTGAAAGGGAGGGTGAGGGATAAGGGTCTGATGCCAAGTGTCAGTGTTGATGTTACTGAACAGGTTCAAAGTCTTAAATAAAGGACTGGGTCTGCTGGGGTGAGAGGAGGTCTCTGTGCAAAGCAGCCCGTGACAGACACGAGCCCAGGTGGCTTTCACAGCATCACATTCAGCCAGTCCCACATCTCAGGGGGTTGATGTGCGTCCTCAGAGTCCCAGCCCGTGTGTCCCAGACTCACACTTCCCACCTGTACAGGGTTTGGATGTGCTGGATTAGTTTCTGAGGTGTCACTTTTTACAACAGGAGCTTCCCACTCCAGGTCAGAGTCTGACACCAAATACTGGGCTCCTGGAAGAAGTTTTGGCAGCTCAAACCCAGTCCTCACGTTTCTCCCTTGAATAAAATGTCCGAGATACCACAACATGCTTAAATTAAAAATAATAAAATGGCAGGGGGTGTGTTGGGGGGGAAAACAGGGGCACAAAGGGAATGTACAGCAAAGGGCAGGGCAAGGCAGGTGTGACATTGATCCCACGGCTGAAACACTTGCTGTACGTGACGGGTGGGAGAGGGCGGGGAGGGCTCGTGGTGGGGTTGGCAGCTGGTGTAGGGCCCCTCCTCATCCTGCCTTTGCTCAGGATTCCTATTTGGAGAGTTTGCTGATGACACGAATGAGGGCTCCGTTCTCGTCCTTCAGCCTTTGGTTGTCCGACTTCAGCTCTGTCAAAATCTGCAGAGAGACAGAGACGAGACGGGATCAGAGCTCAGCTCAGAGGGACCAGAGGGGACATCATTGCATCCCCTCCACCCAGCACGATTCCATTTCTCTGGAGCGTCTCCAGAGCTCTCACAATCCAGCTGCCAGGCACAGAATGGCGAGAGGGGACTCGAGCGCAGCAGAGCCAGGGAGCCCCGAGCCTGGCAGCCCGTGGTGCAAAGCAAGGCCACGGCCCCAGAAGCAGGTCAGCACCAGGCTGGGAGGGCAGGAACCATTTCTGAGCTGTTTCACCCCAAACCTGCGCCCAGAGGCTAATCAGAGCTCAGCACAAAACGATAAAGCTGGTTTTCCTGATTTGGTTTTTTTTTTTTTTTTTTCTATTTTGCCAGGACTAGAGAGGAAAATGAAGGTATGGAATTCTCTCACTTAGGACTGGACCCTGCAAAATCTCTTTAGAATACCCCCAAAATCTCCTTGGGACCCCACAGATGTGTTACAGTCACATGTGCTGAGGCCAGAGGACTGGTGGAACACACTGACACTGGAGGTACCTCCTGGGTGCTCAACCAAGGGTTACAACACAGACAGAAGGCTGAACACTTTGGAAATAGAGAAAAAATAACTTCAACAAGACCCTTCCAGCACTTCCAATTGGCACAAACCCTCCAAACTTCCCCTGCTCCCCATGCTGCAGGAGGGTGACCTTCAGTGGACTGTTCCTGGCCATCAGGGCACCAGGAGGAGACTCCCTACCCCTGTCCTGGTGTGACAGACAAGGGGTCAGTCCCACCACAGGTGCCAGCAGACCACGGGGTGAGCAGCCCTGAGCCTGCTGCAGCAGATTGGGGGACAACAGGGTCACACACAGGCATGAACAACACTGGGATAAGCTCAGCCATGACTTCTCTCTGCCGAGGTGAATCTTGGAGGAATTCCCCCAAACCCACTAAATCTTCTCCCTCCTCCTAAGCTGGGGTTTCATCTCTGAGCACAACTCCTGCTCTCCCCCACCTGCAGCCCCTCCATGACCACTGGCATTGAGTGCAGGCAGTTCCTGGGGCAGTGCTGGAGCAATTCCCTCCTTCCACAGCCAGGCCAAGCCATGGTGGCCCCAACACTTCCAACCTCATCCCCGTGGGTGGTGGTGGTGGTGGATGGTCCAGGCAGGAGGTTTTGCTAGACAGGGAAGAGGGGAACGGTGCCACATGGTGGGATAGTGGGGAAAGGGTAAACTGGTGTGCTGGGCTGGCCAGAGCTCCGGCCAGTGACGCTGGAAGTGTCTCCCTGGACCCAGTGGTGGAGTGACATGTGCATCATCACGGTTGGACTGTCACCAGAACAGCACTTGTGGCTCCTTATGACATTTCTCACAGCCAAAGGAGAGGCACTGCCATCATCAGAGTGTTCAGGAGCTCAGAGACAGGGCAGAGTCCTTGCTGTCTCTGCACTCCTCTGTTTTCTCCTGAGCTTCACCCAGGGCTCAGCCCAGTGCCTCCCAGTGCCCTGTGGCAGTTCAACCACCCACTGGGGTCCGTGGAGGGACAGTCCTTGTCCTCCCTGTGTCACTGCTGGAGTGGCCGAGTGCCCATCGCTGTGATAAGGGGGGTACAAAGTCCTGCCACTCACTTTGGTAGAGAGAATCTGTCACAGGCTCCCAGAAACAACTCCAGAGAGTCCCACAGCTCACCAGGAGCGCTGGTGGTGGCTGTGCCTCACACAAGGGCTCCAGGCAACGTCAGTGATTTATTTAAAAATGAAGAACCATAAGTGCATCTAAAATAAGTGTCTCTGGAAAAGTTTCCTGGTTGTATCCCTGCCCCCATCAGTGCCCAGTGAACCTTTCTGAAAGGGACACATCAACCCTACACAGTTTCACCCCTCCTGAGCCAAGGGCGTTCCTCCCTTCAAAGCTGAGTGGCCTCAAGTTGGGCCAAATAGACCACATGTGAACAGGCTGGGGCTGGAAACTCCAGCTTTATAGGTGTCTCATGGGAGTGGAGAGGAGGGATGTGGCTCAGCCCCAGGGGATGGCAGGGCTGACTGTGATGCAGCATCAGTTTTGGGCTGGAGGATGGTGTGAGCAGCAGGGCTCTGTGCCACCTGTGACTCTGGAGAAAGTGGCTCCTCAGAAATTTGATGTGGGTTTGGGAAAATGAGACTCTTTGGAAAGCACTGCTGGCTGCCAGGGCACGGTGAATATGAAAGCAGTGGTGGCACTGCACAGCTGTGATGTCCACAGACCCCTCTGAGCCAGGGTTAGACCTACTAAAAGGGTTGAAAATAGATCAGCAGAGCAGCACGTGGCTCTTCCCCAGCTCGAGAATGGCAGGGAAAAACAAACCTGAGTGAGGAGAGAAGGATGAGCCCAGTCACAGCTCAGCCAGACAGGGCACCTCTGAGCAGGGGGGGATGGAAGGGAAGTGATAACGTGGGCACTTCCCGGGAGGAGAAGAGAGGTGACTTGCAGGGATGGGTTGGAGGACACTTGGCAGATTTAAAGCAGAAAGGCAGTGAGATCATTGCACCTGACCATCTGCACAATCCAGGGCACACAACACGACTCTCCCAGCCCCTGGGACACACCTGTGGGCTCGAGCTGAGACTCCTGGAAAGTGGAAGCCACAATTCCCCTGGTTACTTTGTTTCTATGGCTAATCAGCCTTGATATAATTTGTGTGCTAAGAATAGATTTTTTTTATACCGTGGTGCCACTTCCAGCCCACAGGAGCACAGTGTTTCTGTGTCTGAAGGGATCTGAATATCCCTACTAACCTGCAAAGGACAGGCAGGGCCCCGAGAAAGGAGCAGTTACAGCTTTATTTTAGCACAGAACCAATGAAGTAGCAGGGAGGGATGTAATTTAGCTGTGTGATGTGCTTAGGGAAGGGTCATCTTTGGGTTTCAAATACTAATTGCCCTGCACTGGATCATAAACCAAAGATGAAAACACAAAGTGCTTCTGGTCCAGCTCCTGTTGGGTCCCCCATCCTGCTCCAGCCCACAGGAAGCAGGAGGGATGTTGAACCTGAGGGGCTCAGACTCAAAAATCTCCATTTAAAATGAGGGAAGGAGCTAAAGTGACCATGAAAAGCTGCTGAGGACAGCTCTGTTTGCAATATTTCTAAAAATCCCCTGTCTAAAATATGCACTTGTCACACTATCCCTACAAATTTATGACACTGTTCATCCTGACTCTGGATTATCAGATTTGCTGAGTGTCAGCTTCTCCCTGAACTGTCCAATTAAAGTCCAATTAAATCTATTATGAGCCCATGTAGCATAAACCACCTATTTTCAGATGTCCAGGGTCCAGGCTGGACAGGGCTTGGAGCAACCTGGTCTAGTGGAAGGGGGTTGGAATGAGATGAGCTTTAAGGTCCCTTCCAACCCAAATCAGTCTGGGGGTCTATCTCCAGGCAGGGTACTGGGCAAGGGGCTGCTGGCACTGCCAAGCCACCCCAAAGCCATTCCCCAGGGCTAAGCTGGCGAGGTTGGCAGCACTGCCAAGCAGAGCGAGAGCCAGCAGGACGAGCAGAGCCTGCAGCAAAGCCCTGCCATGCTTTTGGAACTGTGAGGGTTCTTTGCTACAAGCTCTTGGGCCACAAAGCTTCACCAGGCACCCTGGAGAGCAGGGAGGAGAGGGAGCAGCACGGCCAGGGAGCAGAGACCTGCCTGGAAAAGTGGAGGAGGGAGGCGAGATGAGCCGGAGGGGAAGCAGCTACAGCTCCTCTGATTCTGAGGGCTTGGCGGGCAGAGAAAGTCTGGCTACGACCCGGGTCAGAGCCCTGTTCTCAGCCAGCAGCTGCTCATTCATCTGCCTCAGGGTGTGAATCTGTTTGAGCTGGTGGAGATTCTGCAGAGAGTGAGAGGAGTGGACAGAGAAACACAGAGAGAACATCACGGAGACAAACGGGCACAGAAATGTGAATTTAGTCCACAGGCAGTGAAAGGAAAAAAAGAGAGTAAAGGAAAAATTAGTAGCAGTAAGTGCTGGACAGGGAAAGCCTGTCAACACACTGAGGATGTTTTGAGAACCGTCCCTTTCTCCAGGGGCTCCCAAAGCCTTAAAAAAGGTCAAATAAAGCGATTTTCCACCTAAAAGCAGGATTATATTCTAGTTTACCCAGACAGCCCTGGGACTTGGGAACTGCTGTGAGACCTATCACCATTGACTTACCACCTACACAGGCTCTGAAAGCACTGCTGGGAACTGAGAATTTCTTTAAAACTCCTTTTCTTCATGTTTCTCTGAAAGTTAAAGCAGCTGTGTGGAGCAAAGAGCGATCAGAGCTTCATGGGAGATTCTAAAGGCACAGACTTGAAGCACCTGGAAGTGTCACTGTCCCACAGCAAATCACTGAGACAGGTACTGTGCCTGCTCCTGTCCCCTGTTCCTGAGTGATGCTCCTGGGCCTGCCCAGGCTCAGTCCTGCCAAAAAGTTTGAGGTTTGGGGAGGTTTTTCACCTCTGCCCAAATTCAGCTCTTCTCTGGGGCTCAATTTATCTCTGGCCTCCAGAGGTGGCAAGTCTGAACCTTAAGTCTCTCATTTTTAGCTGGAGGAGTCTGAATGAGAGCATCTCCCACGGGAGGGATGTGCCAGCCTGGCATTCCTGGTGACATAGGCAATGGTGGGCACAGGACAGTGCAGAGACTGAGCCCCACGCTGGGGCTTGCACAGGAACAAACTGGGCACAGGAACAAACTGGACACAGGAACAAACTGGACACAGGAACAAACTGGGCACAGGAACAAACTGGGCACAGGTACAAACTGGGGCTTGCACAGGTACAGAGGCAATGGGAGGCAGGGAACAGAAAAGCCACGAGGGAAGCAGAATGTGGAAACGGTACAAGCCAAGCAGACATCCCAGTGCCACAGGGACAAGGTTGTTCCCAGTGATGCGAAAGCGAATCCATGTCATGGACATTTACACCAGCGTGGGTGCCAGGAGATGTCAGGGCTGTGGAGCCGCTTCCTGAGCCATGGCCTGACTCTCCTTCCTACTCAGAACTCATCAGGTAGCAGGGCCATGAGAACAAGAACCCCTGCTGGACAAGAACCCCTCCTGCATGGTGGGGGGAGCCCTGACACTGGACAGGGGAAGGCAGGAAGGGAAATATCCAAAAGAAGAGTTGTAAGTTCAAGTGACAAAATCCCAGCCCTGAACCAAAGCAGCTCCACAAAGCACCCACCATGCTCCTCCCCATGTCCTCTGACTTGTGAGCTCGCAGCAGCAGGAGGAAATGGAGGGAAGGGTCTACAGGGAAGTGCTCCAAGGGAGGTCACTGTCTGTCCTGAACCAGGAGCTGCACAAATAAATCTACTGCATCACAAAGAAGCTGCAACAACCACCCAGCCAACCTGTACATCTTAGGTTGCCCAGAGAAGCTGTGGCTGCCCCATGCCTGGAAGTGCCCAAGGTCAGGTTGGACAGGGCTTGGAGCAGCCTGGTCTAGTGAAGGTGTCCCTGCCCATGGCAGGGGCTGGAACAAGATCAGCTTTGAGATCCCTTCCAACCCAAACCAGGGATTCCATGATGACCCAGAGCTGGCTGCAGCTGGAAAGGAACCCGCTGCATGCCAGGACATTCTGTCCAAGGGCTCATTCCTGTACAAAACAGAAGTACTTTTGTGTACGCCCCATCCATCGGCTCCATTCTTAGCTGCCCCAAAGCACTACCTCTGCTCCTCATGAAGGAATCAAGACACCCCGTTGAAATGCTTTGCAAAACCAACAGAAGCAAGGTGGGGAGTGCAGGGAGCCAGCAAAGTATGGGGCTTGGAACCCCCGAGATCATCAAACTGACAAAACAGCTCCACGGACACACCAAGGCAATTCTGACACAGGATAAATCAACAGGTCCTGAGACAGAGCTACGGCCAACAAACTGCAGGAGAGCTGCAGGGACGCCTCAGCAGTGAGATCTGCACTCACCACATCCCATCCATCCATCCATCCATCCATCCATCCATCCATCCATCCATCCATCCATTCCCGAGCTGTGCTGGCTGCCTGTGTACCAGAAGCTGCCAGAAGATGGTTGTACTGGAAGAGTCACTCCTTTTGGTGGTACCAAAAGCAGCTGAGGTCACTTGGTCTGTTCAGACTGGAGAAGAGAAGCCTGAGGTTACACCTCACTGGGGTTTGCAGCTTCCTCATGAGGGGCAGTGGAGGGGCAGCTCCGATCTCTGCTCTCTGTGAGCAGTGACAGGACCCGAGGGAACAGCTGGAGCTGTGTCAGGAGAGGTTTAGGCCGGATATCAGGAAAAGTTCTTCCCTCAGAGAGTGCTTGGCATGGGAATAGGCTCCCTCAGGCAGTGGTTAAGGCCTCAAACCTGCCAGAGCTCGGGGAGAGTCTGGACAATGCCCTCAGGTACACGGTGTGACTCCTGGGGTCCTGTGCAGAGCCTCAGGTTGGACTCGATGATCCCCGTGGGTCCCTTCCAGCTCAAGAGATTCCATGATTCTACAATACCACGGATAATAAGCATCCTCTGTTCTACCACAGGGCTCACAGCTGGCGGAAAACATCCAACATCTGTAAAATGAGGTGTCGTTCTACGCGAGGTGGAAGGGATTGTGATCGTTTCAGAGACCACCTTTGCTTTCCCACACCAATATAGCAGGAAACCTCAGCGTGGTCCCATCAGCTGCTGCTCAGCCTCAGCACGCTGCACAGCCCCCAGAAAGGATCATTTATGTAAAAATGTACACATGCTGCAGGTAGGCCAGGCTCCTATTTATCCAAGAAACTCAGCAAAGGCTGGGAAGCTGGGACTGAAGCCAAGGGCGAAGACCAGGATCTGGACGATACTGCTGTGATTGCTTATCACTCTGCTTGAGACTTGGCTTAGCCAAAGCAGGTCTCTCAGTTCAGCTGTACCTGCCTTCAATTAAAGGATTTTGTGCCTGCAACACTGGGGGAAACAAAAACGCCCGGAGCACGCACGATGGCCGAGGCCAGGAGCTGCTACGGAATGAAGAAGCTTCTGTGACCTTCAAGAAAAATTGCTCTGTTCAGTTGGGACCTTGGGCACTTGGCACTGAATTCGGCTCAGTGCAAATGTTAATTTTCTTCCTCCTGCCTCGGCCAAGGTTCTGGATCTCCAGTGGAATTCTTGAAGTCGCTCAGGGAAATGCTGCACCACTCTGTCACCTTCTCAGGAGCAGGTCTGAGGAGCAGCTCTGCCACCAAGGGTCTTGAGGTTGCTGAGCCTGTCCCGCTCCTCTGCACTTCTTGAGGGCTTGGTTAGCAGGGGTTACACTCAGGACAGGAACAAAGTTCATTCCCTCAAGCATAGTTTAAGTACAAAGCATTTCTGTCACCTGTGCCTCCTCTTCCTCACAAGTCAGCTGCAAGGAGAGGAGAATCCTGGCCAGGATGTGTGGAACAGGACACAGACACCCCAGGATCAAGCAGCTGGATGTGAGCCTTGCTGGATCTGTTTGATTCAAAGACTAGTGGAAAGAATCCCCCAAACCAACCTGAGACCTTATCACCTGGCAGGTTTGGTTGCTTCCAACTGCTGAATAACCTTCCATGTTCAAAGAAACTGGTGGATTTGCTTATTCCTTCCCAATTCCTTGTTTATTCCTTCTGACTCGACAGCTACTCAGGCAGTGCATGGAGCAGGAATGGAAGTCCAACCAGAATTAATAGATTTTTTTTCCTGGCTCAAATCCCACACTGGGGACTATCAGGGATGCTCTGTGGAGGTTATCTCACTGCAGGCAAACACAGCAGGGCTGACTCTCCTGCTTCAAGGCACAATGAGAGTGGACACAAAAGTGCTTTCCATATGCAAGGTCCAATTCAATACTTCTTTTTATTGAGTGGCTGTCAAGAAAGACATGTCACAGTGCCCTCAGGTGCTTACTCACCACGGGCTGAAGGTTTTGCAAACACTAGTGAAAATGTAGTGGTGCCTCAGAAGAGAGATGTTCCACTTTCTTATCTATTTATTCTACTAAGAAAAGGCCACTCTGGTTATTTGATGCAGCAAGAACAGTGCAGAGAGCAGAGTCAGCACCACTCTTGAGGACCTGAAGCTCATTTTCAGCTGGACCACAGACTCCTTCAGCCCACATCTCTTGGGGCAGTGTGAGAACATGTGCAACCTGTGCTTCTCCTTCTGCATCACCTTGGCCTCCATCACTCTGCAGCTCTGGATGATCCAAACCAGAGGTGCTCTGGCTGTGTCCAACAGTCCCTCCAGGCATCTTCCTTCATTAATTGCTCTCCAAAGCAATATAAATATTTCCAAACCGAGAAGCCACTAGAGGACACCACCTTGTCTTCTTACTCCATGGGCTGAGCTGGTTTGCAGTGATCTGGAGAGCTGGAGGACCAACACAAAGTGCTCCTGCCTGCGTTTCTCTTGAAGGCCACAATTCTGTAATTACAGGAAGGTCCCTCTGAAGATGAAGGTTGTTACCTGCTCACCGAACAAAGAGGTTGGAATTTAGGCACATTCAGTCCTTTCTCCTCCCCCTCCTGGCTTGAACATCCACACTTATTTTCTCCTCTGTGAGGGAATAAGAGCCTTTACAGAAGACTCCACCACATCACTCTGCTACTGATCGCAGCAGAAGACGCAGCACAAGCCACTGATCCTTTCAAAGCTTCAAACAGAAACACAAAGCTGGAACCTCCTCCAGGGTGGCAGGAACTCGTTTCCACCAGCGAACTGGGAGAGCCCTCAGGTGTGTCCTTCCTTCTGAAAGCAGCTTGGTCCCACCTGGGTCATGCTCAAAGAGAACAGAAGCGCGGGCACAGAGCAAAGGGGACATTCATTCCGTGAGCACGAGCGTTAAAACGCAGCGTAACACGACGCGATGCTGCGAAACCAGTGTGAAGTTTTAGGTGCTGCCTCCTGCTCTGCAGTGCTCAGCCCCTGCTCCCAGGGCAGGAGAGAACCATCCTCAAAGCAGCACCACGAGAGAGAGAGAGAGAGGACACGACGGTGGCGATGGCTTGTGACACTAAGCCGTGCTGTGTGTCTCGCCAGGAAGCAAAATTCCTCTTTGCTGGAATTATCCCAGGCCTCCACAGCCTCCCAGTGACATGCTTTGGGGGGGACACAATCACTCTTGTGTTTTATCCTGGCCAGTGTGCGTGAGCTCAAAAGCCAGCTTTGTCTTCTTACCCATCCGGAGAGAACTTGGGCGGCTTAACTGGGGCTGCAGACTACTCAGAGCACAGGGGGTCAGCACACTGGAACTCAGCGAGGCCACAAAAGGTTAGTTTGGGGGGGGCATTTAAGGAGAACAGCTTTCACCATTCTCAGATCAAACAGCAGAACAAATCAAACATAGGAGCGATCAGATGAATGAGAACAGGAGACAGTTTATTAATTAGCACTTCACGTTTGGGGAACAGGGCCATTAAAGCCTGACCGCAGAAAGGAAGGTGGGTCCCTTCTCGTGGACACCTTTAATATCCTCCTCCTGGGGGACAATCCCAAAAGACACGAATACAAAATGGAATAGACACAGTGAAGATTATTTCTTACCTTCATCTCCTCCTCCATTTCAGAGAGTTTCCGCTCCAGGGCTCGCTTCTCCTGTTTACAAGGATTCATAACAAAGAGGGTCACAAGATTTTAGAAGAAAAATTTACAGTGTATTTTCTTTTAAAGAAAAATAAGAGTCTTGTATTTCTGTAGGAGCATTCACTGAAGAGCACCCCAAAGCAAGGCAGAGGAAACAACCAGGAGGTGATCAGATGGGATAAGGCAGCTGGCAAAACAGCAGGGATATGTGCTGGGGCCATTTGGGCAGATCCTGAGCTCTATTCATACCCCTAATGAAATTATTCCCCATTTTCAGTGATCCCAGTTCTCAGGAGTTGCTGATTGTAATGTGATTTTGAGCTCTGTAGGTGCAGCCATGGATTTCCTTATACTTCACTACAGGAGGCGACAAGAAAAGTCACAGAGCCACTCAAATAGGAAAGAGAGAACAGGGAAAGGAAATTCCCTGCCTGGAAACCCTGCTTGTCCCAGATTAATTTAAGGCTGCAAAGCTGTAAAGTTGACTGCCTTTGGTGTATTGTGAAAAGTGAGGATTACACAGGTAGGCTCTGCCATGTGAGTGTTGGTGGTTTCCTCAGCTAGAGCCTGTGCCAGAGGGCAGATCTGGACTCCTCCAATGACCTTCCCAACATGAGGGGGCTCACAACAACCCAGGGACGTGCCCTGAGAAGGGGGAAATAGGAAATGTGGGTCAGGAAGAGGATTTACACTCTCTGTCCTGCTCCTTTGCCCTCTGCAAAGAGACACGAGGTCAGGACAGTGAGGAAAATGCAGCTGCTGGGTGTGGCTGCTGCCGCTGAGTTCTGGGTCACTTTTTGGCCCCAGTGCACTTCATCCAGGGATTCAGCAGTGCAAAATGCATGAGCCATCCTTCAAACAGCTAATGCCATCTTCACTGAGAACAGTCTGTCTCTTTTTTACTCTCTAACTCTCAGAAAGCTGTATTTGTGGCTGTCGTGACCCTAATTCAACACAAATCAAGCAGGATGTTGCCATAACTTCGACAAGACCAAGTGCAAGGTCCTGCCCCTGGATTGGGGCAACCCCTGGTACCAACCCAGGCTGGGGGATGAAGAGATTGAGAGAAGCCCTTCAGGCTTTTGCTTAGTTCCCCCACCACCCCCAAACCACTCTTTATTTATAAAGGATCAAGAATATTTTAAAGCATAATGGACCAACAGTGTCTTAGTGTGAAACAATCCGTTGGTCTGCAGTTTCCTACAATGAAAGAGAGGAATCAGAATGAAGCCTGATGTGCAAAGAAGAGCAGCAGAGTCTCAGGCCCTGAAAAGGTCAGAACACAATTATCACTGTGAGCTGGCAAAAACACAACTTATCTTTTAATTAAGGCTTTCCTTCTAGAAATGACTCTGCCCTGCACAGCAACACGAGGCAAGGACTGCGACTCAGAAGAAAGCAGAGACACGTACCCTCTTCTCCATCTCCAGCATGCTGGACCGGTCAGAAGTTTTCTCCTGTTTCTGCTAAGGAAATTAAAAATAGAAAGTGATTAAACCCCAGAGCACTCACAGGGTGCGGCACAAAGGCTGAGAACAGCCCACAGATGCTCCTGCCCGGAGAGGCAGCAAGTCTTTACAGAACCACTCGCTTATTTCTGTGAAAAGCAACAGTCTCTTCTACAGCACCTTCCCTCCCAAGAGTGCCCTTCCAGGAGCTCCCCCTTCCTTTTCCCATCCTGGAACAAGTGTTGGTTCATCACAGCCAGTACTCAGTTCCTCCAGTCAGGACCTGGATTTTCCCTTACCTGGGCTGCTTTTTCCAACTTTGCTTTGATGTCAGCCAGCTCAAGCTGGGCTTCTTGCAGCTTTGACTTCAGCTTCTGATTTTCAGACAGGGCGCTCTCGTATAACTGAGACACAAAAAACAACACCTCAATTACCCAGGTGTTAATTAGTTACCTAACTCAGTTACCTGGTTAATTAACCCCGCCCTGCTGTGCTGCTCTGAGCAGACACGTGCCCTCAGCACTGAGCTGTGGGGTTGCATTTTCTCCCCCACATCAGGAAATGAGAAGAAAGGCAAACAGAACCAGTCTGGATGCTTTACCTGTGTTTTCATAATTCGCATGAAATAAGAAAACAGCAGCTGAATTTTGTAGGGAGTTCAAACACAGCCAAGAGGCAAAGAAAAGGGATGTTTTTAAGTGTAGGTAATTCTTTACTCAGAGGGTGGTGAGGCTGCCCTGAGAAGCAGTGGCTGCCCCATCCTTGGAAGCGTTCAAAGCCAGGTTGGACTTGGAGCAACCTGGTCTGGTGGAAGGTGTCCCTGCCCACGGCAGGGGGTGGAACGAACTGGGCTTTCAGGTCCCTTCCACCCCAAATCATTACGCGATTCCACGAAACAGACAAAACCAAACCAGATTTTTCTCTCTGCCTTCCCACAGACTCTCAGGGCAGGTTTCTGCAGCCACAGGCAGGTTCTGCGGTGCGTGTGGTGACAGCAATACATTTCAAAAAATCCTACTTTTTTATAGTCCCTGTTGCTCTCCTCCTCTGCGCGGCTGCTGAGGGCGGCGAGCCGGTTCTCCCTCCGGCTGTAGGCACTGGAGCGACCGGAGGCACGGTCGCTGTAGGACGAGTCACTGGTGCTGGGGTTTGTAGCTGCTTCCAACCTGGAACAGGGTGAGGATCCAGCACTGGGGAGCTGCTGTAACTTGGAAAAGCCAGCACGGACCCAACTGGGTGGCACTGGAGGCTGTGGCAGTCCTGGCTCTGGGATGGGTGGGAGCAGCTCCACCCACTGCTGCCCAAAACCCACAGCCAGCACCCCATAACAACAGGAAAACATCCCCTGGGCACCAGCCCAGCCCCCATGGGCAGTGATTTCTCATCTCCGTGGTGGGAACAGGCTCCATTTCTAACTGAGGGTTTTTTGTCTCTGCCATTAAATAATTTAGGGAGCAAAGGACAGAAGCAAAGTGGCCCCAGAGCTGAGCTCAGGTAAGAATGCATTCCTCTGTGCTTCAGGGGACAGGGTTTGGCTTCAAAGCCATACAAAAACCTGCTGTCAATAAATACTACACAGGAAAAAAATAAAGAAAAAAAGAAAACTCTTACCTGGAAAGTCTTTCATGCTGAAGGGGAAAAAAAAAGAAAAAGAGAATTAATAATGAGGAGAATTAAAGGTTCTGTTCAACAACTGCAGAGCTGCAAGGCAGCAGCAATTTCCCACCTCTGATACCAGCACCCAGCTCATGCCAGGCTACATAGAGATTTCCCAGCACAAACTAGAAATCTCCAATCCCTGCCTGAATCTTCATCTGCCTCAGCTCCTCTGAAGCATTTCAAGATTTACTTTTTTTTTTTGCTCACCTAAGAAACCTGAACCTCGCTCTTTAATTCCTTATTTCCAGAACTGAAATCCTTTCCTTTGAACCCAAACTGCCCAGGACAGTAATGGATTCCCCATCCCTGGAATTGTTCAAAAAAGATATGGATGTGGCACTTGTGACATGGGTTGGTGGCAAACATGGGGAATGGTTAGCCTCGATGATCTTAGAGGGCTTTCCCAACCTTAATAATTCCATGATTCTATGAATATCCCTCAGAGGCTGGTTGTGGCAAACCACTGTTTTATTAAAAACAGTTTTCTGTTTTTTATTATCCAGTTTTGTGGATTGGACAATTCTTTCCCACACTTGCAGACGTGGGGACCAGCTACCTGCTACCTGCACCTGGTTACTAAGTTTTCAATCCATTCCACACTAAATAGAAGCCTCATCTTGCATCTGATTGAAGACAGGAGTGTCCCCAGGGAAGCTGCAACCCCTGGGCTCTGCAGCACAGCCTCTGATGTGCAACACAGGAGCTGCCCAGCACCAAAGAAATGAACTGAAGGGACCTGGCACCAGTGAAACCTTGTGGATGGACAACACACTCGGCAAATCTGCTGTGTGCAAAGCTGGAAAGGCCAAGCAAGCCCTGCTATGAATCAGCACATTCTCCCTCGAGCTGTGCCCTCAGCTGGGCTCCTGGGTGGGTACAGTGCCAGCCCCACCCTGTAGACATTGGCACCAAAACCCCAAGAGTCCAGCCCAGCCCAGGATTATTTTATTTGCTCTGCCCCTCTCTCTTCTTTGTATCTTACAGGTGAGAAACCTCCTAAGAAAGACAGCAGGTGACCTTCCACCATGGCTAAGCTGCACTGCACCTCCCCAAGCCATGCCAGATTCTGTCTGGGAAGCATCTCAAGGGACTCAGTGCCTGGCAGCTGCCTCATGTCGTGACAGGGACATCTGAGTGCTTGTCCCAACAGCCATGGCTGGTCTCTGGCACGGGGCTGGGGTTACAAAGACAGACCATAAATCCAACCACATCCTGGGCTCATCCCACAGCGTGGACAGCAGAGGAGGGGGGGATTCTGCTCCTCTGCCCTGCTCAGGTGAGACCCCACCTGCAGAGCTGTGTCCAGCTCTGGGGCACAAACAGAAGAAGGATGTGGAGCTGCTGGAGAGAGCTGAGGGTGTTCCAGCCACAGAAGAGAAGGCTTCAGGGACACCTTAGGGTCCCTTCCACTGCCTAAAGAGGCTCCAAGAGAGCTGGAGAAATACTTTGGACAAGGGATGGAGTGACAGGACAAGGGGGAATGGATTCCCACTGTGAGAAGGCAAAGTTAGATGGGATATTGGGAAGGAATTCTTCCCCAGGAGGGTGGGGAGGCCCTGGCACAGGTTGCACAAAGAAGCTGTGGCTGCCCCATCCCTGGAAGTGTCCAGGGCCAGGCTGGATGGGGCTTGGAGCAACCTGGGACAGTGGAACTCCAGGGCAGGGGAGTAGAATGAGATGATCTTTAAGGTCCCTTCCAACCCAAGCCAGTCTGGGTTCTATGAAAGATTTCCCATTTTCAGCCACGCACACACGCTGATCTTTCCACGGTGCTTTGTTAGCTGAGCTTTCAACATTTGCTCCTGAAACCCCTCAGCTCCTTTTGAATTCTGGCCCAGTGATCCAACCTCCCCTGAAGACTGGGAGAAGGGAATTAGGCAGTGATTAACAAGCCTCTTGTTGAAAGTTATTTGTGCACTTTATGCTAATCCCCTTCAGTGGTGACTTTTGTTAGGATGACAAACGGCTGGGTAAGTAATCCACTCCATAGCAAGCCTGAATTTATTTCCACAAACACACCTGCCAATGGATTTGAACAGTGCTGGAAAATCCCCACGTGACTGGGCAAGGCCACGTGGAAACCAGGCAGGTCCCCTCACCAGCCTGGCCACTTGCAGCACAAGGAAAAACCGCTTTTGTTCCCTTTTTTCCCTCCAAAGAAACTAAAATTTCCACAGGCAGGGAGAGCAGGGGCGTGATTCCACAAAGGAATCAAGAAAGGAATCACTTTAAGCATATCCAGCCAAAAGGGGATAAACCCAGGATTACTGTATTTACAACCTTCCTGTGATGGTTTCTGAGATGGACTCGGTCAGACTGGGACTGTCTCTACGTGCCTAAAGGGAAGCAAAGTGCCAGATGAGAGGGGAGGACCCACATCATTCCTGTGCTGCTGCCAGCAGCGAGTAGAGCCACCCTGCAGTGACCTGGAAACATGGAATCACAGCAGCATTCAGCCTGGAAAAGCCCTCTTGGATCACCAAGTCCAACCCTGCCCCCAGGTGTGACATCCACCTGCTTTCTGAACACATCCAGGGATGGTGACTCCACCACTGCCCTGGGCAGCCTCTGCCAGGGTCTGACCAGCCTTTCAGGGAAGAAATTTTCCAAAATATCCAACCTAAACCTTCCCTGGTGCAACTTGAGGCTGTTTCCTCTTGCCCTGTCCCTTGTTCCCTGAGAGCAGAGTTATGATCCCCAGCCGGCTCTCCCTGCTCCTGTCAGGGAGTTGCAGAGCCTGAGGGGATGTGACAGCAGCTGCTGGTGTGCCCCTGCCATAATGGAAGCTGCAGAAGAGTTTTCATCAGCAGATCCTTCTTCCACTTGCTTCTGCCTTCAGGGAAGGAGGTAAGATTTATTTATTTTGCTTTAAATCAGTTCCTGGATCAAGATTTTTCTGGATTTTGCACAAATGCCAGTGTTTGTGCTGGTATTTCAAAGAGTAGTTTACTCAGGTGGTTTGGGGGCTTTTTAAAACGATGGAGGAGAAGCAAAAGTGCTGCATGAAAAATACAAGCTCCACTCTGCACCTTCAGAAAAAGGCCCCAGCTAAAAGAGGTGATGTGGAAAGCAGCACTTCTCAGCACAAAGAGAGGCTTTGAAGCATGAGGGAATGAGCGAAACAAAATGACAACTAAAATCTTCTGCTCCTGGGAGTGGCAGGAGGGGTCTGACAGAGAAAGAGTGAGCCCTGGGTGCAAAAAAACAACAAGTCAGCATGTGCCCATGCGGGCAAGAAGGTCAGTGACACCTGGCTTGTACCAGCACTGGTGTGGCAGCACAACCAGGGCAGTGCCCGTCCCCACGTGCTGGGCACTGCTGAGGACCCACCTCAAATCCTGGGGTCAGATTTGGGCCCCTGGAATTGCTCAAAAAAAAAAACGTGGACATGGCATTTGGGGACGTGGTTTAGTGGTGAACACAGCGGTGCTAAGAGAACAGCTGGACTCGATGATCTTAGAGGGCTTTTCCAAACTGAATGATTCCCTGAAACACTGGACGAGGTGCTTAACAGAGACATCCCTGCCATTTGCTCAAAGACACACAAATCTTCAGAGGCCACAGGGATGTCATATTTTGAGCACAAAACAGCTTCTTTCTAGCTCAGTTCTGCCCTGTGTTTGGCCATGGAACCCTTGGAAACCCTCACCACGTGCTTCCAACCACACCTGCACTGTCAGCGCAGCCACCACCGCTCCTCCCTGCACTGCCCCATCCTAAAACATCCATGAAATATTCATTCAAACTCTATCAGCACTGGCTCCCTGTGGAATTGATGGAAGGAGGTTGTGTCTGCTTGGACATGCTATCCCAGAGCTGGAAACTCCGAGCTCAGAGTGAGAAAGCGAAGGATAAAACTCTCCCTCCTTTATTGCTGGGAAGAGAAGCTGGGGGTGAACAGAGGGAACTGAGGCACCACACGTGCACTTGACCGAGCTGGTGCAAGAAAGGGCTCTTCCTTCGTGATTTTTTCTTGTCAAGGTCAAAAAGGGGATGCTGAGTAACTGCTGTATCCACCTCAGTCACCATCAACAAATACCTTGGGTTTTGTTTTCTTGCCCTGGCAAATTTGGAGCAGCGCTGTCGGTTTTGCCCAGGCTCCTTCATTTCCCTCGGGATCAACATTTGACTAGAAACGTCAAGAGCCAGGGAAGCGTCGGGTTGTGAAATTATCCTTCCACGATCCAAACAGGGTCAGGGCGCTGCAGGGGTTGGGGTGGGGGGGGGGAGGACCCCAGGGAACACACAGTGCTGCAGGCGGATGTCCTGGTTCGGAAAGCAGCACGGCAGCCGAGCCCCCGGCGCTCCCGCCGAGACACCCAAGGGGGACGACTTTTGAAGGAAGATTAAAAAGCACGGAGAACTTGCAGGCAGAAGCTCACAAGCTTCTGGTAATCCTCAGCTCTTGGAGCTCTCACTTGGGAGAGATTCCACCACGTTCCCTCCCGGCCATCTCGTGGTGGGCAGCACGTCCAGGTAGCGCTGGGGTGGTGGGGAACACTGAAGGGGTTCCACTCATTTTGCCAGCTCAGAAATGATCTCAGCCAGGAGGGCTGGCAGGACATCTGGGTCTGAGATGGGATCCAAGAGAAAGGGCGAAGAGCACCACAGAATAATGGAATCACAGGATGGTTTGACCTTAAAGCTCATCTTGTTCCACCCCCTGCTGCGGGCAGGGACACCTTCCAGGTGCTCCAAGCCCCATCCAGCCTGGCCTTGAACACTTCCAGGAATTCTCAGGGTGCTGACATAGGTCAGTCCCAGGGAAAAGGCACAGCTGGGCACTGGCCATGCCTGCACTTGCCTGAAGCACCAGGACGCTGCCCGGTGCCAGGAAAGCCATCTGGGACTGATCTTAAAAATGTGGTTGGATTGTGGAGGGCAGGAGTTTTCCCTAAGAAACTCAGAAACTTTTGCAGCTGTTTGGGAGCTCATTGATGGATAATTAAAACCAAATTCCTCACGGAAG